GTCTCTGCCTGCGACGGGGGCGTGATGCCAGCTGCAGGCCGAGCAGCCGCTGTTGTTTCGCTGGAGGGCAGCGGACTGGGCGGGGGGGGAGGTTCTCACTCCCCCGATCTGCAAGTCCTTCCCTCCCCCCCCCCCGCCTCGCCGGCCGCAAGAGACAAACTCGCTGTCTTTGCCAGGTGGGCCCGTCCCCACGGTGCCCCGTCCTCTCTCTCAGCTTCCCTCACCAGCTGAGCCGGCGGCCCCCGGGCCCTGAGCCAGCCCCAGGCCACCCCATCACATCAGCTGCAGTGTCAAACCAGTTAGCCCCCAGCTCCTGCCGGCCTGGCCGGGTTCGGGCAGTGGGGTCCTTGTGGCCTCCAGCTCCTTGGGCCGTTTCTCCCACCTGCTGGGTCCCACCACGCCCTGCAGCAGGGGCTGGCCTGCGGGCCACCTGGCTGGGCAGTGCCCGGCACAACAGGGCCCTGGTCCCGGAGCAGGGCCCCTCGGCTACAGTAACAGAGAAAACGCCAGCCTTTGCCAACCGCTTTTCCCGAGCGCCCGGCCCGGCCGCCTCTGCCCGGCTAGACCCCGGTTTGCCCACCCCACTCAGCAGCTGGCAGCCTTCCCTTACCTGGCGCAGCGCAGCCGGGGAGGGGCAGCTTTAGTGCCCAACTGTTGGTTCGGGCTCGTTAGGCTGGTGTGGGTCGTTGCTGTGCCCGGGGCTTGGCGAGCCAGGGCCAGGCGAGGGAGGGGCCCCTGCCCGGCAGCCTGGTGATGGAGCATCCCAGCCCCCCCTCCCCCTTTTGCCTGCTAATGAGCTGAACGCCGGCAATTAGTCCCCCAAAGGGGGAGGGGAGCGAAAGGTGCCCAGGGACGACAGGCAGCCCATTCATGAGGCAGCGGGACAACGGAGGATGCCAGGGGAGTGAGCTCAGAGCCCTTGGCTGGGGTGAATCGCCCGCGCCAGCGGGGCCCAAGGGAGGGGACTCGGGGGAACCTGTCCCCAGCCTCCCCCCAGGGCGAGCGATGGGGGAACCACGCAGGGCACCTATTGGCCGTGCCCCCGGCGATGCCCCCCCTAATCCTGGGTCTGAGCAGGTGCATTTTGTGGGGTGTGCGGGCAGAGGCTGGGGGTCCTCCCAGATGGGGGAGGGCGGCGTGAGGCCAGGGACTGGTGAGTTAGGGACAAGCGCGGGCGGAGGGGGGGCTGCTCAGGCCTTGCCCAGGGCCAGCCCCATGGGCCTGTCACGCAGGCAGGGCCGCTGGGCCTAGTCCTTCAGGCGCTGCTCCAAGCGGGGTGGAGGCAGTCGGGGGGCAGGAGACCCGACGGGCTGCAGCAAGGGGGATCCTGGGAACGCCGTGCCAGCTCACAGGGGGTTCAGCCCAGGAATCAGCATCCCCAGGTGGGCGTGGGACCCCCGGCAGAGACGGGTGCTAAGCCCAGGTTGGTGAGGGCTGGGCCAGGTTTTCTCAGGCCTGTCTTGGTGCAGGTTCTGGCTTTGGACCACCAAGACCCACATGCTCAGCACTAAGCTTGGGGGGGATAGCTCAGTGGTTTGAGCACTGGCCTGCTAAACCCAGGGTTGTGAGTTCAATCCTTGAGGGGGCCACTTAGGGATCTGGGGCAAAATCAGTACTTGGTCCTGCTAGTGAAGGCAGGGGGCTGGACTCAATGACCTTTCAAGGTCCCTTCTAGTTTTAGGAGATGGGATATCTTCATTCATTTTAAGCCCATCAGCCAGCAGAGAACGAGATGTAGTCGCATCCACAGATCTCCTTCCCTCCAGCAGGGGGCAGTAAACCACACACATTGGCACACACAGTTCTGCCCGCAGAGGGCCATGTGATGCAGTGTGTGTGTGTGTGTGTGTGTGTCTTTCTGTCCCTCACCCACCCCCACAGATCTCACCCCCTCCAGCACGTGGGCACACCCAGAGCTGGTGGCTGAATCACTACACAGCAGAGCCAGGTTGGTTCTCACGGTATTTTTTTTCCTTTAAAGATTATTTTACAGTTTAATCACACAAAAGGCACTTTGATCGGGTTTCTCTCTCTCTCCCGTAGTTGTGATTCGCTCTTGGGTTGTCTCTTTACCCAACAGATACAGAGTGAAAATACGAACAGCCGCAGGCCCGCAGCCCTTTCTCCGAAGGCCAGTGCAGGGGCGCTCCCCACGTGCTGGCAGTTACGATACAAAACTGCCCCTGTGTTGCCAAAGCAGGGGGTGCCCAGCAGGGGGCAGTCTTAGCCAGGGCTGCACCGCAGTGGCATGAAACCAACCAGGTTAAAAACGGATTGCTTTTTCCTTACCCGGGGAAGTGCTGGGTTTTCCAATACTGCTTCCCAGGGGGTCAGGCCCTGGCCAGCCAAGGGAGCAGGATTGGGCTCAGGCCAGGCTGGTGGGCGTCAGCCTCGGGCACTGGGCAGAGGCCGCTGTAGGGACGTGGCACTAAAGGGGAAATCCAGCAGTGAAGGGAATCAGATTTCATGCTGCCCAGGTGGGGGTGCTGCAGAGGCACCGATGGCTCTGTAGTGCCCCCCACTGGAGTGGGTGCAGCTCTCTCCACCGAGAGGGGCAAGACAGATGTTGACATGGCTTGGCAGATGCTTGGGGGAATCTGAGAGCTGGCGCGGGGGCAGAGAGGGCGAGTGGCATGCCAGGAGCTGGAGATGTATAGTTGTAGGGCTGATGGCAGAGCGGGGTGGGGACTGTCCACCAGAACAGGTTTCCATTGGAAGAGGCTGACGTGATGATGTCGAAATGTTTCACGGGGACATATCGTGTTCACCCCAATTGTCGATGGGAAATTGTCCAAACATTCCGTTTAGAACCGTGTCTGAGACTGTCCCTTACAGCAGAGACGCCGAACGGCAGAACGAAACATTTCGACCCTACGGAAACTAAACGTTCCCATAAAGTCAAAACGAAATCGGTCCAAACACGTCGGTTTGTGACAACGTCTGAGATCTCAACTCTTCGCCCTGATTTAGGATTAAACGAAATTTCAAAAATCTCTGAATTTCCCATAGGACAGAAATATCGGGTTTTGGCTAATTTAGATAGATAGATAGATAGATAGATAGATAGATAGATAGATAGATAGATAGAGTGGATGGGGATAGATAGATAGATAGATAGATAGATAGATGGGGTGGATGGGGATAGATAGATAGATAGTGTATGAGAATGGACAAATTTGGAGGTGTGAAATTGACACACACACACCAGTATTTTTCACCTGGCGGTTACAAAATCAGGGAGGAAAACCAACAAATCAAACCAGCCAAAGGGCCCAGATTTTAAAGAGCTAAAACTTTCCTGGAAAACCCAGCACCGTAAGACAGATGCAGTTGACTCTCAGGCCCTGGGCGCACCCTGGGGCTCATGGGGGGACGGGTGACAGGCAGGCATTTGGAGAAGGGCTGCGTGCATGCAATACAGACATCATCCGGCAGACAAAATACCCACCCCCCTCCCCAAATCCCTCCCTGCTTCTTCACACGAGGAACCACCCCGATCAGAAAAATAACCATCTCCCAGGAACACCGTTAAAAATACCAGCTGTAAAAATCCTCTGGTGACTTGTGTCGCCGTTGCTTTCCCTAGAAATATATATACACATGATACATATTTATATGAGCGAAATGTGCCCGGTTAAAATGCATGACTCCCCCTGCCCTTGGCCCCCCGAGACCTCTCCCTGAGGGACGTTTCCCAAGCTAAGGCTAAAGAGATCCGCGGCAGCATCGCTTGGACGCCACCGCCTCAAGGCACGGCCGAGAACAACGCGCATACAAAACAGTTAAGGCAACAGAAAGGGGGCGCCTTCCCGAGACAGCGCCCCCTAGTGGTGTGGGGCACAAGGGGGTGTTGTGGGGAGCCTGGGGGAGGGGAATGCAAAGCAGGTCTCCAGTGAACCTGAATGCGGCCCTGGGAAGCGGCTGGGGGGCAATTGGTTCAGGGGGGAGAGTCGCTCCCTCCGGCCCACTCAAAATCCCTGCTCCCCGGACCCAAAGTCAGAGCTGAAGCTTTGGGAGCAGTTTGGTTGGGCGGGGAGGGAGACCCCCATCCCCATCAGAACAGCCATTGAACCAACCCACTGCCCCACTGTCGGGGGGCGGGGCTAGCACCCCGAGTCCTGCCTTGGTGCAGCGGTGAGCAAAGCCAAGGCCCCCCAGAGGTTAGGGGTGGGTGGGACCTGGTGTCCAAGGCACAATCTCTACAGTACGCTCCCCAGGCGGGCAGGGGTCGGTTCGGGGGATTTACGGTTCTGAACACAGTGAGAAGGCAGAGGTTTGAGCCAGTCCCAAGGCCCGGGAATCTGCCCCCCCCGCAACCGTTTGGAAAGCAGCAGGGAGGGCTGAAGGCACTAAAGAGAAGGAGACACAGACGTGATCCCAGAGGAAGGAGCCCCCCCCCCCCCCACAGCTGCAGTCAGAGATGCTGTTTGTTTCTCTGCAGGCCCGGCTCCCTGGGGAAGGGCAGAGTTAAGGGGATGGGGCATCCTTCCAGGCACTGGTGGTGCCTCTCTAAAGCAGGCCTGTGGAGTTGCTCTTTGCTGGTGTCACTGCATCCTCCCACCTCATCTGCTGGGAATGCAGCAGCCCCGGGCCACTAAGAAGCTCACGGGCCGGCAGGAGAGCTGCTGCCAACCATGGCCAGCTGAGACCCCCCCTGGGGCGATCCCACTGCCCCCCTTCACCCTGTCCAGGGCTGGGGTGGGCTCAACCCAACGGCCCAGCCCACTCCCTGCTCTAACCAACCACAGCACGGGGGCACCTTGATGGCTTCTGACAGCCGTAATGGCAGTTCCGTCGGGGGGGGGGGGATTAAAGCCCCACAATGCACTGCAGGGAAAGGCGACATTTGCATAAGCCAAGCGGCACTGGCCCAGGGGGTCAATGGCCCCCAGTCCCAAGGCACCTAGAAATCCGATTTCCCCGTGAGGCCCAGAGGCGATGGGGAAGTAAGAACCGTTTGGGTGGGGGGGCGGG